TACCATAACTCCTACCAAATTCGAACGTTCTAGGTCCACGGGGACAAAAGTTATGAACTTTCGATCAAACTCCGCCCACTGTGGGCGGAGTCTGGTCCTGCCACCCACCATTAGTGTTCCCATCCTGCCACCCGTACTCCTTCCGAGTTTGAGTGCTCTAGGATCACGGGGACATGAGTTCTGAATTTTCGCTCAAACATTTATTTCTCACAAACCCCGACCCCTTTGGGCGGAGTCCGGTCCTGGCACCCACTTAAAGTATTCCCTTCCTGCCGCCTATACTCCTACCAAATTTGAACGCTTTCGGTCCACGGGGACAGGAGTTATGAATTTCCGGTCAGACACACACACACATACACCACACACACACAGAAACACACCAACAGTCACACTTAGCCGATTATATAAGTAGTATGAACGCCAGACATACGCATCCTTATTCTCGTGAAATGAGTTTTGTGACAGTGCGGATGTGATCGAATGTACTGAATCATTCTAAAACCTTGCTCGCTCGCTTGGCTGTTGTTCATCTAATATTCTACCGATCTTCGTAAAAAAAACTCGTAAAATTCTGAAATTGAAATGAAATTCGTGAATTCGTTTTCGTAAGAAATGTGCTGTTTGTAGATTACAGAGAGCAGGCAGATTAAGCGGCAGTTGTCGTTCTCGTCTGCATCTTCCTTCTTATACAACAACACAGCTTTGCTGATTTTCCCCGACATGGGTACTTTGTATTTCGACGAGTACCGCGCGAAAAGCCTAGCCAGAGTTTGGACGATAGCTGTGGAAAGCTCTTTAGAAATTCATGTTCGGCCTATCGAGGTCTGACGCCGTACACTTCCTCGCCGGCGTGGTGGCATGTCGAATTTCGAAAGGTAGAACTGAAGGAACGGCATATGCGCCTTGCCCAAGATGGTAGGTGGGAGGGTAGACGTGTCTGTGTTGTAGGTGACCGTCTCCGTTGCTGTTCGAAACGCAGTAACTGTTCCGTTAGAAAGGCGAAGAAAGTCGTCTTACAATTGACCAAGCTCCGACGCGATTGACAAACTCTTTTCCCGGGCTTGGCTTCAGCTGCTAAACAGCTGCTCTTCTCTCTTTAGGTCTTCCTTTTTCGCTTCACTGCATAGCTTCGTAAGTTCGAACGTTTGCTGATGATTGCACATAGCTCATGCGATTGCACGCTTTCGTATCAGTTCCATAGGCTCCGAAGAAAGATGCCATTTGACTCCTTGTTGATTCTTAGCTTTCCCAAAACTATCGTGAAGATAAAAACACTTACACCGCCGATGCCTATGCTGTTGCATATTCCAAGGAACAGTTCTTCTCCAGTCTCGAAGATGGAGTGCAGAGACCCTGAAATTTTGGCAGCCTCTCCTGAGCAGTCCCACCCAACGCTGCCGTATTTCGAGCCCCTTCAGGTTAGGGAGAATGGGACACATTTACATAATTTTTTGGCATATGATTTCACTCAATAGCTGTCAGGCTCTGAGGTGGATGCTGGATAGACGCCAGAAAGCTAGCCAGGGTATCCCTGAGAAAACGAGAGGGCACTTTGGCTAGCTTGTTTTTGGGAACGACTCCCAGTGGATGCCCCCAGACTTGGATGCCAGATTTTGGCTGAACCGATGTGCAGTATGCCAACCCGTTATACATGCATGTATAAATACGTACACACGCACGCGACACACATACACTTGCTCACACATACATTCCAACAGGCACTTTTTATGGCACAGGTAGTCGCGTTATTGTGGTAGAGTAAACCGAATTTGTTGGTCTCAGATGACAAGGGGAAGTAGGCTTCCACCGTTTGCTAAAAATTCTGTCGCTGGAGTTCCTTGAAAAAGCTCAAGTTTTCACGTTTAACAAGTCTCTAGGCAGACTTTGGATATGCAGATAGTCTGCATTGCATGAGTAAGTTCTATTACGCTCGATATGCTGTTTGAAGACATTTGTTCTACTGCTAAGTGGAGCCCTAGCATGTCAAGGCGATACTCCATTAATAAATACGATTCCAGCTATCTTTCGGGACCACCGCTCTTATCCGAGCTACGTTCTACACTTGCAATGTTCAAGAAAGAAGCTCAAGACGGTCGTCAAATGGAACCGCTTCGCTTCACTTTCGAGTTTTTGAGGATATTCCGTTATCGACAACTTATCGGATACCACTGGCTCATCGAACACCTTCACGGTAATTATAGGGAAGCAGAGGATCTGTATTTTTCCATGAGACCTCTCTCAATCACCAGCTAGAGTCCGGACTTACACAACAATGTAGAGTTGCCATAAAAGAAGATTTGAAGAAGAGAAGAGCAGCAGTTCTGGCCCGAGCCGCCGAGACTGGGAAAATCATTTGTAATGCCTGCCGGAGTTTCGAAAACTAGAAGACAAGGACGACTCTCCTGTTTTGTCTTCACGGAACAATTACAAGCCAAATCGAAAGGTAGTGGAGAAGTTCATTTACGACTTCTGCTCGGATCTCTTCGACAGCCGCGTCTAGATGCCGACCGACAATCCTAAGCAGGTTGGATATGTTGTTCCTCCACTTCAGTCTTCCGAATTTCGACATGCCATCACGTAGAAGAAGGAGCGCCAAGCGTCCGGTGTCGACAGGATTAAACCAGAACATCTGAAGAGCCTCAAATGTGTAATAGTGAACGCCCTGGCTAGGGTTTCAGGCGTACCTGTCGGAACTTGACAGCCATGCGAGCAAGCAGGGTTTCGGAGACTGAGCAATTACATCCACACTGTTTCACTGAAGTATCGCTAGAGCTCAGAATGCCGTTTATGTCTGACGTTTGTCGTTCCGAACAAGACCCTCAATTCCGTCGAGAAAGAAGTGATATTTCGAAGAAGGCCCTTAGTACAGTCGAGAATGAAGTGGTAGTTGAAGCGTTGTTCTCAATAATATGAAGATGTTTCATGGGCCAGATGAACTACAACAACTCACAGACAAGGATTTCGCCATTCTGCAGAGAATTCATAGTCAATATGAAGGAAGGGCACGAAAAGTCAGGCTAGGCGTACCGTTTTGCCAAGCTTTTCAGTGCCGCTTTCGAGAGCATCATGCGACAGGGAGTCTGACGGGAGTGAAGGTGGACGGCCGCCACCTAGATTATCTCCTCTTTGCAAACGGAATCGTGATTATAAAACCGAACATGGAGCAGGCGAAATGAAAGCTAACCGAATTCGACGAAGCCCGGGAAGAGATTGGTAGACTAAACCTAACGATGTTCATGAGAAACGGATTGATACAGATGCTCCCTTAGATGACACACTACTCGTTGTGAAAACCAAGATGCATGAAATCTCCCGATGCACGCAAGCGCGGAGGGAAACCGGAATCCTGAGCTCTGTCGGCGAACGAAGGTCGGGGACGGTGTTGCTTACGCTAAGGAATCGAAAATCAGGTGGGCCGGACACGTCGCTCGATATTGTGATGATCGACGGACCAGGGCAATTACTAACTGGGTCTCTCGAGAATTCATGCAAACCTAGGATTGGCTTAGCGCGATGGCCAGACTTCTTCACGAGACCTGGACTGTGCTTTTGCCTCTCGAGCGAGGGTAATTCACTGAACTACTCTGGCTATCGACAATGAACAATGGGGCGTTACGATCGCCCGCTCCAGGAGGTCGATGATTGTGTTACGACAGGTGATGCAAGTGATTCTAGAACACGCAACTGTAATAAAGGTTTCGATTCAAAGATTTTTACGCAAGTGTGGCCTGGCACATTATCTTGGCCCACTACCCAGCCTCTCTACCCACCCCCCAAAGCCATAAAACGATATCGGGCGAAAATTAGTTTACTTTGATACAAACTTTATTTTTCACTGGAAAGTGGTGAAAATGTAGTTGGAGG